CATCCTGGCCCATCCTCACCCTTCTGCCCCCAACCCTCACCTCCTTGTACCCCCAATATGTTTTTCCCAATTAAAAAAAAAAAAAAAAAAGAATTGGAAATCAACTCAACAGCAGTGGATCTGGTGTAGTTGCTTAGGCAAACATAAGTAGCTTAAATAGGAAGAATGCTTTTATTAAGTTTGAATGTCTTAGTGATTATTCTAAAGTTCTTACAAAACCAGAAAGATGTTCTACTACTTTCAATCAAAGTCTTTCCAAGGAGACCAAGGAAGCCTCAATATTTCACTACCATATAAAAAGTTAAGAAGATTATGCCTTTAGCTTGTTCATGGACCTAGCTCCTCTGCCATTAAATTACTAAAGATATGAGGTATCACTTCAGAAGCTTTAGATTACATAAATCAGATGTACAATGGGCCCTCAAAAACGGAATCAGCTCATCTATAATATACTGACGCATAAATCTGAAAGGTTCAACTGATGAGCTAACATAAAGAGGTGAGTTCCTCAGACTGCAAAGTGAGCCAGTCTGGCATACCACCTCATAACTCAAAGCAGCTGGTCAACACAGAAGTAGTCTCTCTTCCAAAGGGGCACACTGGGGGTGGGGTGGGTGGGATAGATACTGCCAAAATAAAGCCAACTGCTAACAAGACACAAGAATGACCAAGGCTAAGAAATCAGAGAATTTGGTTTTTTAAACTAGAAAATATTTCCTTTTCAGTAGCATTTTTGCAGAGCATTAATAAATTTCTCAAAAGTTCTAGTTAAAAAAAAAAAAGTCATAAGGAATAAGAAAAAAGTATCCTGAAGTCTGTCAGTAACTTTCAAATGAGTCAGAAAAACAATTTTTAATAAAGTAGGGAGTTCATTGTCCTGATAATGCAAATTTTCTCTAGACTGGAAAGAGCTCAAAGTAAAAACATAAGAGAAAAAGGTAAGTGCTCCCACTAAGAAGGAACATGAGAATTATTGCTCAGGATTATGCCAGATTTAAATTCTATATTTATCACTAGAAGTCCAACTTTTGAAGAAGCATACCTTGGCCATCCTCCTTGAACACCAGCTCTCTTTTCTCAGACTCATTTTCATTCTTACCTCTGCGTCTATTTTTACCTCCTTTACCTAATGATTAAAAAAAAAGAGAAAGATTAATCATCTGTAAAATATGAAAAAAGAAATTTTAAATTGAGGCTTATAACAGCTTTAAAAACATTCACTTAAAAGAAAATTCAATTATGATGAATATATTATCTCCTTTCAAGGAGCTCTGGTGGCCCAGTGGGAGATATTGCACTGAGTGGTTGGAATCCACCAATTTCCATGAGAAAATGATAGCCAATCTATCCCTGTGCAATTAACAACCTCTACAAACCCACTGAAGGTTCAACTATGAGTTGGTTCTGATTCCACGGCAAGGAATTATATAATTATCCTTCTTAAAAATTCCTTTTGGTCTCCTCCACCCCAGCATAAACTACATTCCAAAAAAAAAAAAACCCAAACAAAGCAGACTTTATATAAAACTTTAGCATCCATCCTTTCCAAATAAAAATATAATACCAAATGTATTCTTCAGAACTGTAACCTTGGGTGTCTAATAAAGCCAGGTCTTATCCAAGTGGATCTTTTGATACACTTGACAGAAATTTCCAAAATCAAGTGAGGAAAAAATACTTGGACCAAGAATTATGATCTATCAAACTTTCAGCAACAGTATCATGGCTATTCAAAGTCTCAATTTCATGTGTAAATGAGGACTAGTATTCACCAAAAGCATACAATATGTATGACATGGAAAATCATACTCATGAGTATGTACGCACACACCTCTATGTATCTAGCTGTGAAACCAACTTGACCATCTGCTTCTGGATTTTTCTCTTGATATTTGGTGCTATTCAATCATTTTTGTCATATTCAGTATTTACTATAAGGCAAGGACTAAGTGGAAAAGGTTCAACAAAATTTTGAGGAACTTAGGACTCTTATGTTTAAAACTGAAAATGTTAGCCATTTTTGCAGCTTTATTCCCCGGGCAATATCAGTTTCAGGAGCCACCAGTATAGAAATCTATAACAGTGCCACCTGAGTGGAGCTGAACATGATTAAATGGGAGAGATCTGGCCAGAGGTCAATTCAGAGGGAAATGCCACATATGGTCAAGACTGGACAACAATAAGAAAGGGAAGGTAAGGCAAGTATCTGTTAATACAGTATTTAAGTCTTGCAACACATGACTTTTAAAACTATGTGTGTAGCCACTGGTGAGAGTCAGCGCCCAGAGCCATCAGGGGCTTTAAGCTCGTTGCCCACTGCTGTG